TGACCTGTCTTTTCCTCTATGTGAGATTTTGTCTATGTTGTATTTCTGTTTGTATTTTAACTGGTGTGCCGTCTTGGCCAGGTCTCCCTCGAAAAAGAGATTTCAATCTCAAGGGACTTCCTGGTTAAATAAAGGTTAAATAAAAATAAAAATAAATAAAAATGTACCAATGAGGAGCAAAAAGTAGTGATCATCTGTTCAAACGGTTAGTTAACTGAGTTCACTATAAAGTCTAGTATAAAGCCCCCGCCATGTTGAGCGATGGGGATGGGCGGACGTTTGGAAACGGCATTAGTAATGGAATTCATTTTCCCACAATGCAAACTGTCCCATAAAACAAGTGCAAAGATTTTGTAAATATTGCATTTTCTGGATTTGATTTTCCAGTGTAGGAATTTACTCTCCTATAACACTTAAGTAACCTGACCTGTTTTAAGACCAGGAATATAAAATTACTACATCTTCAAGTTCATATTTCTTAACAAAGAAAGTAAAAATAAAAAAAAAACATATCTACAAACATTACTGCAAGAGGAAACCAGTAGCATAGAAATGCAGAATAAGGTGTGATAATTGCAGCCAACTGTGATTGCAGAGTCAACAGTTTGTTTACATTTCACAGACAGGTGGCTGCACTGGAAATCAATCTAGAAATAAGTAAAAAATGTCTTAAATTAAGTGTATTTAACCTTAATTTGAGTAGGTAAATGAGATTTTGCCAATTGAATGAGTAATTTTACTCTTAAAATAAGATAATTAGATAATATGCACTTGAAATAAGACAATGCAATTCCATTTTCTTATTTTAAATGTAAATTGTCTTGTTCCATTAGCAAAATGTCTCTTTTACCTCCTCAATCCAAGATCAAATGCATTTATTTTAAGAAAAAGATGACTTATCTAGATTTCGATTTTTTTTCCAGTGTGCATTGTTACTGCAAAGATGAAGGATGTGATAGAACGTGGATCCGTACCTCTCCCTGTTAAACTTCAGAGAATGAAGGATCGCTGGGATTTTTTGCCTCAGGTTCCACAGATGGATGCTGTCATCAGCTAAGGCACTCACCAGCGCCCCCTGTGGAGACGGCGACAAACTGAGGGTCAATCAGAGTTCGATTCACATGAAATAAAATATGATTCCTATGGGTAATATAGTATAAATACTTGATCAGGGTTTAAAAGTACCTTAGGTAGAAGAAAATACCTGCTGCTGGAAAAAAAGGGATAAAAAGATAGAAGAGATGGGTGGATAGACGACACGCACCTCATTGATGAGGAACTGGAGCTGGATGACAGCAGCACCGCTCTCGTGCTGACAGTAGCACTCCACACCTGCACGGCCGAACCTAAAAGTTGCCTCAGTTAAGGAAAAATAAGGAACATTTGCCAACAAATGTGCTGCAGGACTAAACAGTGGATGGATTCTGAAGACAGAAAAAGTCTAACTTTAGTACATTTCCTGGAAAGACCCATGAAGAACAATAAAAAAACCCGCTAAATCCAGAAAGAGCACAGCTGCTTCAACTTGGAGAGCACCAGCCGGCTTTGTATGGCAATTTCACAAGCCGTCAGATCTTGGGTTTCCCTTTCCAATTGTGTAAACTAACAAGGCTTTGTTCGCTAAAACTGGTCTGTCAAAGCTTTTAAATCTGAACAATATCCTTTTAGCATGAACAAATTATTCTAGTCCTGGAAGCTAACAAGCTAGAACAATCTGATTAGGTGGACATTAGCAATTTAAAACTAGTCATTGCAAAGCACCTGGTGTTGTTGCTTAACTTATGGAAGGCTCTATTTAAATAACTCCCTTTTGGAAATATATATCTATATATATAGATATATATATCTATATATATATATATATGGATGCAAACTGGACCTTAAGCCCTTCATGGTGTTTAAACAAGAACTGCAAAAACAATCCGAGCAGCAATCAAACAACTCCCGAGTTTCCTAAACAAACGAGGGCGGGGTTGCAGGGGATGATTGCAGAACACAATTTGCGTTCGGCACGTCTTCTGCCCAAGTAGAGAGGCAAACACAGACTTTTAAGCTGGCGCCAGTTTAAAGCTGCTGCCAGCAGATCTCATGCTGATCCTTGACCTTTATGCTCAGTTTCAGCCCCCCACCCCCATTTGTTGTCAGGATTATTAATGGCAAACGCGCACATCTAGTCCACAGTAGAGAAGGAGTCAGTCATATGTGATCTCTGTATCCTCTGGCCAAGTTTAAATAGGAGCGGAGGAGTGGTTTAAATAATAAGAATGCGTGTGTTGATGCGAGGGATTGTTTCCAAAGCACAGTAAAGGGTAATGTTGGCCATGCTTTTACACATTAAAAGCACATATTGTACAGCTTTAACCCTTTTCTGTTTAAAATTGGGTTAATAGTGTTGCAGAGCAAAGCCACTTTCTAGGCGAGCAGGAAATTACTAAGACAAACCTCAAAACTAGATTTTATCACCCTGGTGAGCAACAGGAGCCGTCTTTTCAAACTTCCTCCAGCACTTTACTATATTCATTTTAAAGCCACCATATAAACTACATTTTAAGTTACTATAGTTTCAACTTTTATAAAACAAAAGCAGAGGGGGGAAAACAACCGGTATTGTTTCTGGTGAGGGATGTAATTTCACATTTAATGTATAAATTTGAAGCAAGAAGACAAAAGTAGGTCATTTAAAACATTCCTCTTTCTCAATGCTGGATCTATCAGACATGTATAAATAAAATAAATCCACTTTCAATATTCAACAATCATCTTATTGGAATCTGAACCAGTGTGGTTACTGTCAGAGGTTTAAATACAGTTATACTAAACGGTTTCCCTCCCGGGAATGAAATAATATCTTACATCAACTGAAAAAATCTGGTTCAGGGAAACGGATTGACAGTAAAGCAACACCTGCTGCAAACTTTGATCCCTCTGGGACATTTTCTGGCAATTTATTAAATAAACCTCCAAGCGGTAGGAGTGAAATGAACTGGCCTATGCCCAATTCATTTATTCCACCAAATGTCACTGAAGTTGCTTTTAGACCATGTTTTTTCCAGTCATCAAAATAATCCTGGCATAAATCTGACAGAATACAAACCTCTCAAAGCAGAACAGGTGAAGTTTATTTCAATTAGTCCTTTTCCTGCCTCAGAGATGGCTTTCTTAGCAAAGTCTCACCAATAGGGCAGGGTATCAGTAGGAATCGATTAAATTCGATTATTGCTGATCCGATCCGATGCAATTCGATTTGATTCAATGCTGATTTTTTAAGCCGTGTGACTTCAGGAGTTTTAAGAGCAGCCTGGGATGCCAAGTTGTGCACATGGGCAAAGCAGCCAACATATAATAGCTCGGTGATATCGACAGCAACTAGCATGTTGGCAGCATTATCTGTAACAACAGCGGCTACTTTTCCGGTTATGCCCCATTCGTTTATTGCTCCCTGTGTGACGTCCGTGAAGCTGCCTGGTCTGAAGCACATTTGAAACAAATTCCCACTCATTTGATATGAAATGAGAAGTGGTGGTTATGTAGGGGTCAGTCGCTCTCAAAGTCCAGCCATCGCACGTCAGCGCGACCCTTTCAGCAGCCTTTAGCGACTCCAACAAAGCCGTCTTCACCTCTGTGTACAGTGCCAACAGCGCCCCCAACGTTCAGGAGGTGAATCGATTCTGAAGGGCTCCCGCATCGATTATGAATTTTGCGTGTAATAATTGCGACGCATTGATTCTTCAGTTATTTTACCCACCCCTACTCACCAAGCTTGCATTCGATTTGAGAAAAAGCATTCAGTGAAGCCATTTCACAAACTTCCACAAGCTCCATCTGAACTCAGATGTCATTCAATCAAGCAACACAGCTGGTAGAAGAAAAGCATGATGATGTCATGGCGAAGCCTGACAGCTGATCCATACATCATCCTTTAAATCGTCACAGAGGACAAAAGGCTAAAACAGCATTTATTTCAGAGCACAGAAGAAAAATCAAAACAAACAACTTGCATCCGACTCCACAAGCTCTGATCAGATTTCTGCATAACATAAGATTTTTGGGGGGGGGTTAATCACTGGATTCACCTCAGAGTAAAAAAAAAAAAAAAAAAAAAA